TATGAAATAGTAATATACAGTCTCACAATTTCAAAGTGCAAACTCTTATTTAGGAAATAAGAACATTAAACTTTTATATTGGATATAAAAGTTATGTTTTATTCCTATTTGAGGAGATTTTTTTAATTTTGTTTAGAAAATAAATACAGAGTAACATTGATAAGGGAAAGTAATTACCAAAAGTCTCCTACACTTCTATTAGCTTATATACCTTTTTTTATTTTACAAATCATCATATTTCTTCATAAACTTGTACGAAATCTTTTTGTGTATCTTTCTTTTTTCTTCTACGGAGATCGATGAAATTGTAAAAATTGTTGTGTGATTGATGATGTAGTTGCACTCAATTTGGTAAGTTTAGGGTGAGGGTGGTATTAATAATCCATTAAAAAGGAAATTGATACCATTATTTTTTGCTCAATTATATTATTCTCCAATATTTTTTCATGAGCTCACCGGAATAGATCTCCAATTTTGTCGTTCGGAACTTCAAAATTGATTATTTAGCAACCAAACATGAAGAGATTTATGAGTTTCAGACAATACATTTATATCTAAATACAATATATCTCTCTATGTATCGAAGTTAAGTACACAAAATTTGACCAAGAATAGTCAAATGAGAAGATTAAATCCGAACAGAAGGAGTACTATGGAAGAATTTAGAACCTTAAAGAAATTATATGCAATTGAGTCTAAAATAAAAATTCATATTTTTGTCTAACAAAAAATTACAAAATCAACTTCTAAAATAATCCAAATAATTAGTTAAAATTTTAAAAATAGTTTCTAAAATTATTAGTGAAAATTAAAATTCGTATCTCTAATTTATTTATAATTCATATCTCTATCGACAAAAATAACGTGTTTTAATAACACTCCGCTACAAGTTGGCGCAGGAAGATTGTGAATGCCCAACTTGGACAACAAGAACAAGAAAGTGGGCTTAGACAATGTTGGTATGTACCAAGGTAGATAGCTCTCGGCGCTGCACACACTCACGAATAATATGACAGTCAATATCAATATGCTTCATCCTATCATGGAAAACATGATTATTTGCAATAAACAAGGCAGACTAATTGTTGGAGAACAGACAAAGTGGACAAACAATGGGTACGCCAAGGGCCTGTAAAACATGATGGATCCAACGTATCTCTGTGCCACTATTAGCCATTGCCAGATATTGAGCTTCTGTAGACGAACGTGAGACTCTTATTTTCTTTTTGGTTTTCCACAAAACCAGAGATACACCGAGCATGATAAAATAGCCGCTCACAGAACGACGAGTGAGTGGACATCTAGCCCAGTCGGAATCACAATAAGTGGTGATTTGTGAGTCACTGTAGCACCGCAAGAAAATATCTTGGCCTAGATGCCCCTTAATGTAACTCTATTCACCCCCTCTAAAATTGCATACTGTGTCTAACATATTTTGTTCCGTGCATTAAATTCCACCCTTTTTTCAAGACTAGATGTTACACGTAGGGTGGGTCCCATTTTCACTCAAAATCTTAGACAAAATAAGTTAGTGCTTCGGTTTCGCACCAAAAATATGTAAAATCATCCATTATTCCGTTCGGTATTAAATGTACTAAAAATTGTAACAACAATGAAGCAATAACAAAGTAATTTGTTTTTTGGCCAAAGTAATGCTCTTTTAACAATGTAAATGAATTTATGACGGAAATAGTATTTAAAAAAATGTGACCAATAAAAGCAAGAGTAACTTATTATTATTAAAAAAATTGGACATAATAAAAATGAGAGCAAGTTATTATTGTTTAAACACTGATTTATATGAAATATGGCTTGATTGTATGAAAAAATATAGATATATAACAATGTAAATAGAGAATGGGAAATAGAAATAAATACATGAATTAAATGTAAAGTTAACGAAAAGATCAACTATGCAACATTGTCGTTATTGGAAGGACTATTCATAGACATTTTAAGGTTGAAGAACTAGCTGTCCATATAACATTAACTTCTTGAAGGACTAACGATATAATTTAGCCTTGAAATTATTAACGCAATTTAATTATTCCCTTGAACTCCTCCCACTTCATTTGCAATTTTTTTTTAAAAAATCACTAACAAGACAAAATATGTAACCAAAATATAGAGTAAATAATGCGGAGTACAAGAACAAAAGATAGCAAAAGTAAATGCATTCTTAAAAATATTTTTTACGAATTCTTAATTAGTATACTTCAGTTGAAAACGGCTCGGTTCAGGTTTTTGAAAACCAAAGTCAAAACCAAACCAAAATGGTTTCGTTTGATTTTTTGTATTTGGTTTCTATTATATAGGTAAACATGCTAGTTTCATTTCTTAGTAACATGCTAGTTTCATTTTTTAGTTAAACTATCGATGCATTCCATTCAACTTCTTTTTTCTACTTATTCTTTACTATTATTAATATCAGATTAAATCAAATTAGATTTGATATAATTAGATTAGATCCATTTTGATCGGTTCAAATTATTCCTGAAAGATGTTTGTCATCCAAATCTGTAGAGACTTAACAAGCTCTAAACAAGTAATATAATATTTTCCTCACTACTAACTTTGAACAAAAAAATTACAGAATTTGCTCTAGATCGGGTCATTAGAGATACTGTATTTGACTCAACACACACATCAGATTCTTCAACTTCTTGCCACTTGCCACCATGTAGGTATGCTATTATATTAGAGTATGTTGTAAGCCTGTAATTCGTTCTGCTAAATGTGAAGCTTAAGTATCGTGACAAATTTCGTTGGTTATTAGTAACTTATTTTTAAGGCATCTAAGAATATAATTTACCATTTTTGATCGAAAAAATCAAAACACGCCCCAAATAAGTCCAAATGAAGGAACCAAAAATTCTACGAATATAATTTACCATTTTTGATCGAAAAAAGTTCAAAGCTGACAAATACTCGGTTAGATGGAGTAAGACTTAAAATTAAAATTTTAATATTAACTCCGTAATATTTAAAATTAAAAACTTAAATTTTAAATTTAAGTTTAAAATAAAAAAATATAAAATATAAATTTTAAAGTCTAAAATTTAAATATAATATTTAAAATTTTAACATTTAAAATTCAAAGTTTAAATCTAAAAACTTTAAACTTAAAATTTAAAAATTAAAACTTAAAACTAAAAAATAAAAACAAAAAATAAAAAAAATAAAAATAAAAATAAAACATAAAAGTTAAAATATAAATATAAATATAAATATAAATTTTAAATATTTTATTTTAAATTTTAAATTTTAAATTTTCAATTTTCAATTTTCAATTTTAAAATTAAAACTTTAAATTTTAAATTTAATTTTTTAAAATTTAAATTTTAAATCTTAAAAGTTGAATTTTGTATTTTAAATTTTAAAATTTTCACTTTAAGTTTAAATTTAAAATTTGAAATTTTGAATTTTAAGTTTTAAATTTCAAATTTAAATATTAAATTATATATTTTAATTTTTAAGTTTTAAATTTTAAATTTAATGTTTTGAATTTTAAATTCTAAATTTTAAATTTTAATTTTTCATTTTAAATTTTGAATTTTGAATTTAAATGTTATATTTTTTAATTTCTAGTTTTTAATTTTAAATTTTATGTTTTAAGTGTATATTTTAAATCTTAAATTATAAATTCTAAATTTTAAATTTTAAATCTTAGTTTTTTAATCTTTATTTTTAAATTTTAATTTTTCAATCTTAAAATTGAAAGTTCTTTCTTTCTCTCCAAAGACTTTTAATTCAAATTTTAAAGATTTTATCATTTCCTTCAAATTACAAAACTCGTATATCATCTTATTTGCAAATAAAAAAATGCTAGGGGGTACATCTTTGGTGTACTCCAAATGTACACCACCTCCTTCAATACCACATATATTGGCAAGTAAAATAAAAAAGAAATAAATATATAAAAAATGGGTGGTGTACATTTGGGGTACACCAAAAGTGTACCTTAGCACCCCCTTGCAAATAGGGTTGTAAATGAATCAAATATTTTTTTGTTCGATTCCTAATTTGTATTGTATGAAGTGATTCGCATTCGTTTTTTTAAATCCGAATATGAATACGAATCTGAATCAAGGGTATTCAATTCGTTAGTTTGAAAAATATATTCAGAATATAAATTTAATTATACAAGTAATATATATATATATATATATATATATATAATATATATATATATATATATAATATATATATATATATATATATTATATGGGATTGACTCCAGTGAGATGACACCTTATGGTAAGATGAAATGCTTCAATGAGATGACACAACACACAACACTGCTAATGGAAAGCTCACCAACTGCCAATGCAAAGCTCTCGAACTACCAATGCAAAGCTCACCAACTGTCAATGGAAAGCTCACCACTTTTTTTAAATAAAAAAAGTTAAAAAAATAGCACCACCACTCAACCACCACTCAACCACCGCTCAACCACCGGTCCACGGCAACAGTGGGGGTCATCGGTGGTGGCCATTGGTCCTGGGCGGTCAAAGTGTAAAGCTCACCAACTATAAATGTAAAGCTCACCAACTGTCAATAGAAAGCTCACCAAGGAACAATGCAAAGCTCACCACTTTTTTTTAAAAAAAAACTAATAAAATTGCACCACCAGTCAACCACCGGTCCACGGCGGTAGTCTGCAGCGGTTGGAAGTCAGCACCACCGCCCTTTGTTTTTTTTGAAATCATTTTAAACTTTAAAGTGTGGTGAGCTTTGTGCACATATTCGGTGAGCTTTGAAGTGATCAATGGTGAGCTCTAGCATCATCTGACTGAAACATGTCATCTTACCATAAGGTGTCATCTCACCGAAGTCAATCCCTATATATATATATATATATATTTATATTTATATATATATATATATATATAAGAACACTCCAGTGTTTATTCCTCCCTTCCCTTTGAAGAAGAAGAAGAAGAAGAAGGCTATGAACCTTTAACACACCTCCTATCCGTCAGCAATTTCTTCTTCGCCTGAATTTCCAAGTTTAATCTAAAAACCCCATTTTCTTCTCTCTTTCTCATTCGCCGAAGAATCCACCGTCAATGGCAACCACGGCGTCGTTTTCCGGTGTCCACTGCTGCGGCGTCCAGCCCTCCACCAGAGCAGCTCCATTTTCTTTTCCGCCGCCGTTATCAACCAACTTCTCGCCGAAACCTCCGCGGCATAGAACCCTAATTTCACTCAAACTGCACAGAAAAGATTCGATTTTCAACAAAAAGTCTAGGTCTTTAGTTGTCCGATGCGAGGCCGCCAGCGGAAAGGCTGTTACTCAGCAAGAGTTCACGGAGATGGCATGGCAAGCTATAGTGCTGTCGCCAGAAGTGGCAAAGGAAAACAAACACCAAATAGTAGAGACGGAGCACTTGATGAAGGCGCTGTTGGAGCAAAAGAATGGGCTTGCTCGCCGGATATTTTCCAAGGCTGGTGTGGATAATACTCGTCTGCTTGAAGCGACAGTTCGTTTCATTGAACGACAACCTAAGGTTCTTGGCGAGTCAGCAGGTTCAATGTTGGGGCGAGACATGGAAACATTGATTCAGCGGGCCAGAGAGTTTAAGAAAGAATATGGTGATTCATTTGTGTCAGTGGAGCATTTGGTGCTTAGCTTTGCACAAGACAGGCGTTTCGGAAAGCAGCTGTTTAAAGATTTTCAAATTACTGACAAGACTCTAAAAGATGCCATACAGGCCATTAGGGGACGCCAAACTGTTATTGATCAAGATCCTGAAGGAAAGTTTGAAGCTCTGGAAAAATATGGAAAAGATTTGACTGCAATGGCAAGGACAGGAAAGCTTGATCCTGTTATAGGCCGAGATGATGAGATACGTCGATGCATTCAAATCCTTTCTAGGAGAACTAAGAACAATCCTGTCCTAATTGGAGAGCCAGGTGTTGGAAAAACTGCAATATCTGAAGGGCTTGCCCAGAGAATTGTGCAAGGAGATGTCCCACAAGCCTTGATGAACAGAAGGTTGATCTCTCTTGATATGGGAGCACTTATTGCTGGTGCAAAATATAGGGGTGAGTTTGAAGATAGGCTTAAAGCAGTGCTCAAGGAAGTGACCGACTCTGATGGGCAGATTATCCTTTTCATTGATGAGATTCACACTGTAGTCGGTGCAGGCGCCACGAATGGTGCCATGGATGCTGGCAATCTGTTGAAGCCGATGCTTGGCCGTGGAGAGTTGCGTTGTATTGGTGCAACCACATTGGACGAATTCCGGAAATATATTGAAAAAGATCCGGCATTGGAGAGCCGGTTCCAGCAAGTCTATGTTGACCAGCCCACCGTTGAGGACACTGTCTCTATACTCCGTGGGCTCCGCGAAAGATATGAGCTTCACCATGGGGTCCGCTTATCGGACAGTGCATTAGTTGATGCTGCAGTTCTCTCTGACCGTTACATCAGTGGACGCTTTTTACCTGACAAAGCTATTGATCTAGTGGATGAAGCTGCAGCAAAATTGAAAATGGAAATTACCTCAAAGCCCACAGCCCTTGACGAGATCAACCGTGCAGTTCTTAAGATGGAGATGGAGAGGCTATCACTTACTAATGACACAGACAAAGCATCCAAAGATCGGTTAAATCGCCTTGAGACTGAGTTGTCTCTACTAAAGCAGAAGCAATCTGAACTGAACCAGCAGTGGGAGCATGAAAAGACCGTCATGACACACTTGCAGCCCATCAAGGAAGAGATTGATAGGGTGAATCTTGAGATCCAACAGGCAGAAAGGGAGTATGATCTCAACCGTGCTGCTGAACTCAAGTATGGTAGCCTAAACTCATTGCAGCGCCAGCTTGATGCCGCGGAGAAAGAGTTAGACGAATATTTGAAGTCTGGGAAATCCATGCTTAGAGAAGAAGTTACTGGGAACGACATTGCAGAGATTGTCAGCAAATGGACTGGAATTCCAGTCTCCAAGTTACAACAGTCTGAAAGGGAAAAGCTTCTGCATTTAGAGGAAGAACTCCATAAACGGGTTGTTGGCCAAGACCCAGCTGTCAGATCCGTGGCCGAAGCAATTCAGAGGTCTCGGGCCGGTCTTTCGGACCCGCACCGCCCGATTGCTAGCTTCATGTTCATGGGCCCCATGGGTGTCGGAAAGACGGAGTTAGCCAAGGCACTCGCGACCTATCTGTTCAACACAGAGGAAGCCCTTGTGCGTGTCGACATGAGTGAGTACATGGAGAAACATGCAGTCTCAAGACTAATAGGTGCCCCACCCGGGTACGTAGGGTACGAGGAAGGAGGACAGTTGACTGAGATTGTTCGTAGGAGACCCTACGCAGTTATCTTGTTTGACGAGATAGAAAAGGCACACGCCGACGTGTTCAATGTTTTCCTTCAAATCTTGGATGATGGTAGGGTCACCGACTCCCAGGGGCGCACTGTGAGCTTCACAAACACAGTCATCATTATGACATCAAATGTGGGGTGACAATATATTCTGAATTCGCTAGACGAGAGCGAGCTATCTTATGAAACCATAAAGCAAAGGGTGATGGAGGCTGCAAGAGCCATTTTTCGCCCTGAATTCATGAACCGTGTTGATGAATACATAGTGTTCCAGCCCCTTGACCCCGAGCAGATCAAGAGTATCCTCCGATTACAGCTGGGACGCGTGCAGCACAGATTGTCCGACCGGAAAATGAAGCTACGAGTGAGTGAAGCTGCGGTTGAGCTGCTGGGAAGCCTCGGGTACGATCCGAGCTACGGGGCCCGGCCTGTGAAGAGAACGATTCAGCAGAACGTGGAGAATGAGATAGCAAAGGGCATCTTGAGGGGGGATTTAAGAGATGAAGACACCGTGTTGGTCGACACCGAGGTATCCGCGGTTCCCAACGGTCAGCTTCCCCAAGCCAAACTTGTATTCAGAAGGGTGTCCGGTTCTTCTTCGGGCGCTTTGGGTGCTTCTTCTCCTGTGGACAAAGAAGCATCATTCTCCCAGTAAACGGCAAAGGTGTATATTTGTAATGGAACTGAGCATTATAAAAAGCTCTCTTGTAATGTTTATTTTTGAGAATTGGAAGAGAATTAAAAAATAAAATTTATATATCAAAAACTATATATATATATATATAGAGAGAGAGAGAGAGAGATTTTGGACTTGGTGAGAATGACATCTTATGAAAGAAATAAGAATGAATATCCATCGTTAGATCTGATATCTCGTGTGTCTACTTGCGCTGAATCTTCAAGGGTATTTTGGGATTTCAAGACCTCACCGATCTCATTATATTCTCTTTCCCATCTATATCCGGAATCTACTCCTAATTTTACGGCAAATTATATGGTACATCCAGTTGTACCTTCCATTAGGTAGAGCCTGGTATTTTTGTAAATTTTGCAAACTTTTTATCCAATGCCCAAAACATATATGAGAACTATTATATATGACAATGAGTACCAGCAGATTTGAGAATGAGTACCAGCACTTATGAGAATTATGATATTCTTATTCAATACAAACATTAAATGGAGGAAGAAGTTGATGATGGTACTGAACTTTTTAATTGTGAAAAAATTGAACAATACTTTATTTCAGAATGAACATTTCTTTATTTGAGAATGAGTATTGTTTTTTTAAGAATGAACACTACGCTATTTATTATAATTATATTAGACAAATGTGTAAAAATGAGTACTTCTTTATTTTGAAATGAGTACTACCTTTGCCAGAATGAGTACTACGTAGTTCGAAATGAATGGTTATATTTGTACGAGAATGAGTACTACTTTATTTCAAAATGAATACTACCGGGATGTACCTATTTCTAGGTACATCCGGATGTACCATATACCAACTCTAATTTTACCGATATACTCCATTCTCATCTCTCTCTAGAAAATATGTGTTCCAGGTTCGTTCTCTCTCTCTCTCTGTCTCTCATTTTAATTGATGAATTTTACAAGATTTGTGAAATATCATGCTTCAATTTCTTGTTTTGCTCTCAAGATGTTTTTTATATTCAACATCACCCAGATTTTCATTTACTTTTGGTATGAATACCCTAATTTATTTATTTTTTTACTTTACAATTTCTGAGTAGAGATGACTGTTTTCACCTTGAATTTTTTGTTCTAATTTTTTTCAATTCTTTGGGATAATTATTCATTATTTTATCTCTTTGTTAGATATTGTTTTTAAATTGGATATTCTCTGTTGCTTTGTAATAGCAACTGATTTGAAACGTTGAGATGGTGGCTCAACAAATTAGTGTTGAATCATTTGAGTTTATGTTTGCAAGCCACATGTTTGATAAAATGTCCCAAAAACATATTTGCTGCAATCCACTTCTAACCTTCTAATTTGAGTCAATTTCAGTTTTTGTATTTGCTTCCAGTAATTAGATTTTATTTTGTGCAATCTTATTCTAGCTTCTAATATCAGTGATGCTAAATTTTTTTCATTTAATATTTTTGCACAGTGGTGCATTTTGTTTATATAGTAGTGCATCGTGCAGATCCAAAGACTACATTTTAAATTCTTGCACAATATCACCTTAGTTGTGTACAAGCTCATTTTTATGAAAATAAAAAACTTGAAGATAAATATCATTTTGTATGCACAAAAAATAAAATGGTGCAAGAAACACATCTCCTGACACAAATATGACGAATTTTAATCTTGTGCATATTGAATTTTCCGCAAACATTGATGCATTTAAAATGTTTTATGCACTAGTATTGACACTAAAAAACATGAGGCATGTTTTACCAATTGACCCTTGTTTTTCATAACAACAATCTGATGTCATAAAGTATTATTTTGATTATTTTATGTCTTAGATGCACTCTGAACTCTGAATTTTAGTATGTGTATCCGTTCATGAACATGATTTCTTTGTCATCTTTAGCTTCTACGTAGTAAATGATAATAAGTAGCAGTTTTTTGTTAAATCTTTCATTTTGCCTAGATGAGTGCATATGAATTTAAATTTGTTCTTATCTAATAATGGTGTGGTTTAATATTAAAATATGTAATTCTCACTTTATGTCAAATATGCATTATGAGTTCCTTAATATGCATTAATTATTTTTTGAATAGATATAAATTCGGGTTCGAGAGTAATTGATGAAGTGGATTTTTTTAGTTTCTGTCAAATCTTTTCTTAAATGGATATCTATACTATATTTGTTAAATTTTTGGACATTCACCTCATTCATGGCCCTTTTCTTCATCTGTTATGTACTCTCTCCGTCCCAAAAAGAATTTCCTACTTTGATTAATGTGCAAAATCCCGTGGATTTTAAAATGATTTTATTTGCAAATTGTTAAGGAAATAAGACATAAAAAAATTATATTTAAAAACTACATCGGAAACTCTACAAGATAAGAGGTGACAAGAATATTTTATTTTGTGAAATGATCAATGAAAACACGCAAACAAATTAGAGTTATCGAGAGGCCGTAATAGTAAACAGGAAAGACTTTTTTGGACGGAGGGAGTACAAAATATATCTTCTCCTTCATTCTTTCCATTCCCTAAATATATTTTACGCGTTGTGTCCCAAATAAACACTTTGGACTCTTTAATATGCATCTACTAATTAATATGCACTTTATTGTTTTGGCATTTTTCTTGCTTTAATGTATAGATAGTCCAGTAGAATGAGGTTTTATTGTTATTCATTGGAATTTTTAATCAATTGGTGCATTTCCCCAAAGCCGGTGACATAGTTCTCTCGAACAAATAGTCATAGCCTTACCATGCACAACAAAGAATTCAAGGTGCATTGTGACATGTTTTGCATTATTAAAATTTGATCAACAAAGTGAGCATATAAGCTACCCATTATTAGAATAGAGGAAAAGGTAACATGTTTTGCATTGTTAAAACTTATATTGCATAATCAGCATTGAAGCAATGCATTTACATGATAAGGTTATGCATTATTAGAATAGTGGAAAAGGTAATTCATTCAATTACTGTGCATTATCAAATCAAAGTTAAATTTATCTATCATATGATGAAATTCTTTTGACATAAATATGATGCATTTGTATATTCCCCAAATTCTTTTGACATATATATATATATATATATATATATATATATATATATATATATATATATATATATATATATATATATATATATATATATATATATATATATATATATATATATATATATA